AAATGAAAAAATACGAAACGGTGACGAATTATGGGACTTTCATGAATCGTGAAAAGATTTTTAATGGCAACCTTTGCATCAGGTCATTTAAAGAGCACCAACTAAAATGACTGACCACCTAATGCTTAGCAGCTTATATAAGCTAACATACAGAAGCTAAGCAAAACATACCGTGTTGATCCAAGCCAGATGCGAGAATACAGAATCAGTGGAGCAGGCGAGGACTGCGGTGTCGATTTTCTTGAACTCGCCGACCTTGTCGGAAAAAGCGATGATTTCCGTTGGGCAGACGAACGTGCTGAATGGTCAGGAGTCATGGATGAACATCAAGTATAACAAAAAGCTGCAACAATGTAGCGTTTTCGAGTGCGTTGTGGTAAACTATAGTTTAAAAAACTGTAGATTCCAGACAAAAATGCCGCGTACTGAAAAACAGCAGCGCAGATTATGAGTCGATCGATTAGCACATTTTTCCTACTTCAATACTTTAAGATAACTTAAGTAACCAAAAATTATCTCCAAAACTATTTGAATTGTCTAGACATAATAATCCAGTACAACTATTTATAGACGATTACAGGATCAAAAATATGTTGCGGATTTTTATACCAGAAAGAGCATTCTTTGTCAATGTCTACTTCTTTTGAAGAGCAAAGTTACGATAAACGCCTGCCAGCAGCGCTCGCACATGCGGACAGATTTCGTTTTTTCGTACTCACATGGTCCAAAAGTCAGACTTCTATCTATTTAGAACGTGTTGCTGAAGCGCTCACTGTTAAGTCAACCTAGTTTAGTCCTTAGAAGATTGATTACTGATGAGTGAGTAAGTGATTACTCAAAATATCCTTTTACTAATCGGAAAAATTATTACGCAAGTTTGCCCTACTTTAACGGTGGGTATCTACTAATGTAAAAGCCTTAAAAATTTTTTTTAGCATTTTACTCCTTGTAGATAATATCGCAGAAAAAAACTTGACAGAGCAAACAAGCCTCACAAGTCCATAGGATAGAAGAAAAGCACTACATATTTCCCCTTGAAGTCGTGAAGGCTCACGTCGACAAAATCGCCGTCGACCACCGCTTTCGTGGTGAACTCGGGAGCCGGTTTACCAATGAATGCCTTCGACATCTATAAGATGATCTAATTAACTTCAATCACACAGAATATATCAAAACTGTGAAGGGGTTCGAAGAAAGCGGTACAAGTGTTCGCAATGAGGAAAGGCGTTGATTGGATTGCAGCATTTGCACTTTACACACATTACTTTGATTAAGGTTGAAATTGATTTGCACATCTACTGAACAGGACAATGGGCAGCAATTACAATTTAAACAAAAAATA